AAAAAAAAAAAAAAAAAAAAAAAAAAAAAAAAAAAAAAACACCGCATGCGGAAAAAGCCAGTGGCATGGTGGTTAAGGTGGCTAGACTCCACATGGCCAACTGTGCAGTTCAAGTCCTGGGCCTAACAACTTGAAAGGCATGCTGGGCGTGTGTGCATGTATGTCCAAAATCTCGAGAGGAGAATGAAGAAGGGATTGTGACGTGTCCTTCCTTCCTTGGGAGGGCTTTCTTCCTCTCTCCCCCTCTCTGTTTCTCCTGCGAGCACATGCGACCTACAATAAAACACACACACACACACACACACACACACGCAAGTTAAACATTCCATATGATTCAACAGTCACATCATAAGTATTTATGCAAGGAATAAAAACAAAAACATTTTGCAAGACCAGCAGGTGGCGTGGTGGTGAAGGCGCGGACACTCCCACATGGCTGACCACAGTTCGAGTCTCGGACCTGGTGTCTTGCTTTCTCACTTTCTCTCTCTCTCTCTCTGTCTCTCTCTCTGGTCAAATTAAAATAAATGAATAAATAAAATTTAAAAGTAATTATTAAAAAAAAACATTTTGTTTTGCCTAGATACTGCAGTGTAGGCAGTAGGGTGTTGTTGTACAAAGCTGCAGTACCTCATGGGAGGTCTAGTTTTGGATTCTGGACCATTTTGAACAGGCCAACTGTGATGGTGCACGCCTGTGATCCTGGCTAGCTGAGAGGCTGGGACAAAGGGCTGCAGAGGTGAGACTATTGAGAATACCTCTCTCTGTTTCTCCCTGATATTTAAAAGAACAACAAAAAGAAGAAAAAACCCAATAAACTGTTAGTAGACACAGCTTTAACAATTGGATTTACAATTCAAGTTAGGCATCCAGGCTAAGGCATTTGTTCTTCTTGCCTTTAGGTGTAGCCCATCAGTGTTACCATGGTTTCATGAAGGCCATCCAGGAAGGAAACATTCAGTGGGAAAGCAGAACTTACCCTTATCCTGGAACTCCAATCACTCAGCGGTTCTCACACAGTGAGTATTTGCTGTGAATGCAGATCCCACCCTACCTGTGCACACATTTCCAGAAACTACTTGGATGCATGCATTTCATCTGACTTTTTAAGAAAGAGGATTTAAAATGAGAGTTTATATTACCTTTATAACCAGAATTAGGGAACAATATGAGCTTTGTAGGTATTGTAGGTGCCTTGTTAATAATTTTATGTTCTGCTTTTTGGGTGGATCCTTTTCTACTCCAAAGAGGTCAAGGCTTTATGCTTAGAATTTTAAACATCCAGGGACCAGCAGATGTCATAATGGTTACATTGCTAGACTCGCACGTAGTCGACTGTGGTTCGAGTCCTGGACCCAGTGGCTTAAAACTACACTGGGTGCATGTGCATGCATGCCCAAAATCCCGAGAAGAGAATGGAGGAGAGGGGATTGAAATGTGGCCATACCCCTCTGGGGGGTGATTTCTCGCTTTCTGTCTTTCTGGTGAGTGCATGTGCCCTGTGGCAAAAATCTCTCTCTCAAAACAAAACAAAACAAAACAAAGCAAAAAGGATTTTAAACATCTGACATTATGAAAGGAGGAAAAAAAGGAAAGACAGCTATGAGGGTATTTCTGAATTCGTGCTGAGAGAATAGCCAGAGTTTGGTGGGTTACATTGGCTGCTTGGTTTAACATAGTATTTGTTCAACACACAGAATTTGACTAGAGTCACAGAGAAATTTTTCATGTGAAAGGTATTAATTGTGAAGTTACAAATTTAAATAAGTAGCAAAATTATAAGTAAAGCATTCTGGCAAATAGAAATAGTTTTGTTTTTAAAAATTACTTTAGAATTGACTCTCTGTTTTCATTGAGTTTTATAGACACTATTTTATTTTGTTAGTTCCTAACGAAGGTGAGATTAAGGTATGGTATATCTTAGGCCTGAAAGTGTATTTTTTACTGGTTCTTCCCTAAAGAAAGCTCATTGAGAATAGGCAGGAAGAGAGCAGGAGTGGAGAACAGGGGAACTCTTAGAAATCCCCCATAGTTACGACTTTAATTGTGCTACTTCCGTTTTCAAAATCGGAGTGCCTGTACATTGCCTAAAAGATAACGTCTAAACTTAGTCTTATTTTCGGTGCTCTCCTTATTTTGACCTATGCCTAAATTTACTACTTCATCTCACAACTTTTCCCAAGAGTTCTCCTTTTTAGCAAGCAATGACTTAACCTTTGCCAGACTTAATTCTCCCTTCCTGGGAATATTCCCATCTACTTAGTTGAATCCTGCCTGTCCTTGACAACCCGATTGAAATTCTAACTTTTTCATGAAACCTTTCTCAACTCAATCCCACGGAAAAATTTGTTCTATTCTGAACTTAACATAGATATTTTCCTGAATACTAATTTGATACTTTCACTATTGACTTATGTGCCTTTTTTTTTTTTTTTTAAGAGAGAGATTTTTGCCTTTTTTTTTTAAAGAGAGATTTTTGCTATAGGGCATGTGTACTTGCTGGAGAGACAGAGACAGAGCGAGAAATCACCCCCCAGGAGGCTTGGCCACACTGCAGTCCTTTCTCCTCCATTATCTTTTTGGGCATTTTGGGCATGCATGCACATGTGCCTGGCATGAGTTTTAAGCCTCTGGGTCCGGAACTTGAACCGTAGTTGACTACATGGGAGTTCAGCGACATAACTGTTATGCCATCTGCTGGTCCCAAGCTTTCTTTATTTAAGAGAGATTTTTGTTATAGAGACAAAGGGAGAGATAGAAAGATAGAAAGTGAAAAATCAGCCCCCATGGGGGATGGCCATATTGCAATCCCTTCTCCATTCTCCTCTTGGGATTTTGAGCATGAACATGCATGCATCTGGTATGATTTTCAAGCCTCCACGTCTGAGACTCAGATCACAACCGCCGACCATGTGGGAGTCCAGTGACAGAACCATTATTCCATCTGCTGGTCCCTGGGTTATGCGCCTTATTTATTTATTTATGTATGTATGTATGTATGTATGTATGTATGTATGTTTTACTTTAGAGATTTTTGCCTGAGGGTGCTTGCGCTTGCCAGAGAGAGAGACAGACACACAGACAGAGACAGTAAGAGGGAATGTGAGAAATCACTCCCCCTGCCCCATGAGGGGATGGCCATACCACAATCCCTTCTCCTCCATTCTTCTCCCTGGATCTTGGGCATGCATGCAGTGTGCTTTTCAAGCCACCAAGTCTAGGACTCGAACTGCGGTCAGCCATGTGGGAGTCCAGCAATGTAACTGCTGCACCATCTGCTGGTCCTGCCTATTTAATTTTTTTAATTGCCAGAGGGTACATGTGCTTGTCAGAGAGAAATAGACAGGGTAGGGGGTCAGTGGAGGAATAAGTACCCTCTCAATGGTGTATGGTCATACTTCAATCCCTCCTCTATTTCTTCATTCTGTCAGGATTTGGAGCATGCACACACATGTTCTTGGTGTATTTTTCAAGCCACAGCAGCCAGGATTCAAACTGCGTTTAGCCATGTGGGATCCAGCTCCCACAGGCAGGCTATGGGCCCAGCCCATGTATGTATCTTTTTAAAACACACACACACACACACACACACACACACACACCCCCTCTAGTTTGAACTCTTGGTATAGTAAGGAGCGTATATTGGTTATCCATGCTGTGTAAAAAGTTACTTCAAAGGTTATTTATCTTAAAACAACATTTATTATCTCACGAAGTTCCTGAGAATTGGGAATTTGGGAGTGGCTTAGCATGGAAGTTTGCCTCAGGGGATCTCATGAAGTTGCAGTCAGTTTGTCAGCCTGTCAGGGCCGTGTTCACCTGAAGGCTTACGTCGGGGGATCTGCTCACGTAAGTAACTGTTGAGGGGCGGCCTCAGTTTCTTACTGCCGAGGGCCTCCATAGTGCTGCTCACAGCTAAGCAGCTATCTTCTCAGAGAACGGATCATCTGAGAGCGGGGTCGAGACGTTGGGATGGAAGCAACCTTACTGCAGAAGTGAACTTACCAGTTCTGCTCTATTCCGTTGGTCACACAGGACTGACCAAGGGCATGAACAGATGAGGATCACTGGGTCACCTGAGAGACTGCTTACCCAGACCATATGTTCTCTTGTGTTGAGTTCAGTAAATAATCCTAACCCCTCCTCATGCTTGAGTTGGATCTAAATAGGTCAGAGGGCCAGCCAAGTGTTGCTGAGTGTTGCATTCTCTCAGGGAGCTATTTTTACTTTTGCTGTTGTAAACTGCCTAGGGCAGTGGGTCTCAATGTATGATTCCTGGACTTCTGGGAAGGAGGCGCTTCCATGAGACATTTTCAGAGATGCTGAAGTCAGAACCAGCTATGTTTGTTTTAACCTGAGTGTGTGACTATGAACATGGGTTACTAGGACTAGTTCAGCACCACTGCCTTTATGCATGCTAAGACTTTGGCAGTTTTACTCACCATTACTTTTGTACAGTGTATTGTTTTTACTACTTAAAAATAGTTACAATAGTAATAATATTGTTACTACTTAAAAATAGTTCTGAAATGGCCTCAGCTGTTCTTAAGAGTACACAGGACACACTTGGAGAATCACTGGAATAGACTCTAAACAAACCCTTACTTAGAACATTTTATGAAATTATAGGAGGTCCATAATTATTGTTGAAGAGGTGATAACTTCACTTACCTAGGTAACTGGAGTAAGAGGTAGAGTGAAGGTTTCTGAGGAGACCTATTTGAAACAAGTACTTTTTTTGGAGAAGTTTTTGCTATAGGACACATGCACTTGCCAGAAAGACAGAGACAGATAGACAGAAAGTGAGAAATCACCCCCTGGGTGGGGGTGGCCACGCCGCAATTCCTTCTCCTCCATTCTCCTCACGGGATCTTGGTCACGCACGCACACACCCCCTGCATGAGTTTAAGCCACCAGGTCCAGGACTTGAACCGCGGTCGACTACATGGGTGTCCAGCGACATAGCCATTATGCTAACTGCTAGTTCCTGAAACAAGTACTTTTAAAACCCTAAGTGAGGGGGACCAGCAGATGGTAAGGCACTGGACATTCCCACATGGTTGACTATGATTCGAGTCCCAGACCTGGTGGCTTGCTTTCTCACTTCCTCTCTCTCTTTCTCTCTTTATGCCTCTCTCTCTGGTCAAATTAAAATAAATGAATGAATAAAAAAATGAAATAAATAATTCTTTAAAAAAAAATCTAAATGAGGGAAATGGGATAAATCAGGGTAGGGTAAAATAGAAGCTAGATCAAGGGGCAGCCAGTGGCATGGTGGTTAAGGCAGCTGGATACCACATGGCTGCCTGTTTGGTTTGGGTCCCAGATTCAGAAACTTGGAAAACATGCTAGGCGCATGCGCATTTATGTCCAAAATCCCAAGAGGAGAGTGGTAGAAAAGGAATTGTGGCATGGCCATCCCTCTCGAGGAGTGATTTCTCATATTCTCTGTCTCTGGTGAGTATAGCTGTCCAATAAAAATTTAAAAAAAAAGATACAGAACGAATCCAGGGGCCAGCAGGTGGTGTGGTTACTAGCTTCACCTGGTTGACCATGGTTCAAGTCCTAGACCTGTGGCTTTCTTTCTTTTCTTCTCTTCTATCTCTCTCTGGTAACTAGCTCTTTTTTTTTTTTCATAAATAAAATTTTATTAGCATTGTTGTGTGATTTTAACAATATGGACAACTTCATGTATTTGAGTGTCATCCTTGTACAGGGACCATGCCAATCTCTCCAGTTTTAGTATGTATGTGTTGCTAAACTGAGCAGTTAACTAGCTCTTGAAAATTGTATTACCATAAAATACAGGCAGTTGTTTAAAGGGGAAATGAAAAGGAATAATATAATGAGTAAGCCCATAGGAGTTCAGAGGTCAGTGGGTTTGGATACTTGTTTTTGTTTAAAAAAAAAATTCTTTTTCAGTCTACACTTGAAATTTTAAAAAAGGTGCCACAGATGATTAAAAAAAAAAGGACTCTATCTCATTGTTTCAGTCAGTCTCTTGTTATTTTTTGTCTGTCTCTGTTTCCTTGCATCTGCATACTATGTAACTGGCAAACTGAAGAGGCTAAGGACAGTTTTCAAAATAGGTTGAAAACAAGGAATTCCTTGGCTGGCAAGCTGCCAGCTCTGAGACTCAACCAGGGTGGGTCACTTGAAAGTCCAGTGACTTAACCACCACACCACCTGTTGGCTCCAATAATTCTTAAAAAATAAATAATAGTAATGAAAGGGCAGGTGAGGGCCTGCAAGTGGTGTGGAGGTTAAGGTGCTGGATCCTACATGGTTGACTGTGCAGTTTGAGTCCTTGACCCGGTGTTTTTTTGGGAGAGGTTTTGCTATAGGTCGCGTATGCTCACTAGAAAGACAGAGAGACAGAAAGCGAGAAATCACCCCCCCCACCCACCCAGGGGGAATGGCCACACCACAATTCCTTCTCCTCCATTCTCCTCTCAGGATCTTGGGCACACGTGCCCACGCACCTGGCGGGAGTTTAAGCTGCCAGGTCCAGGACTTGAACCACGGTAGACTACCTGGGAGTCCAGTGACATAGCCATTATGCTCACTGCTGGTCCCCACCTGGTGTATTAAAAATCACACCAGGTGGGGCCAGCAGGTGGCGTGGTGGTTAAGGGTGCTGGACTCCCATATGGCCGACAGTGGTTTAAGTCCTGAACCTGCCGGTTTGCTTTCTCACTTTCCTTCTCTCTCTCGCTCACTCTGTCCTTCTCTGGTCAAGTTTAAATAGATTAATTAATTAATAAGCAAATAAAGTTAAATAAAATAATTCTTTTAAAAAAATCATGCCAGGTGTATGTGCATGCATGCCCAAGATCCCCAGAGGATGGCGGAGGAGGGATTGTGGCATGGGCATCCCCCATGGGGGGTGATTTCTCTCTGTCTTTTTCTGGTGAGCATACATATTCTATAGCAAAAACTTAAAAAATATATATTAAAAAGCCTAGTTCTCCTAGGTTTTTGGTGAGTGCCTGCATGGCCAATCATGTAAGCCTTGATTAACATAGTATGTCCTTCTCAGATTGATGTAGGAGTAGATTGACTCCCCAACACCATACCTTGAAGAAGTTTTTAGTGTTTGGGCTCCAAGTAGAGTCACGTAATTCCATTCACATCCTGACTGTGCTCCTGCAGGCCCAGACTGGATAACTACCCTTGCTTGTTCCATAGTTATGTAATTACAGACCTTATCAAATATGTTCTGGCTTGTAGATGTGAGTCACATGACAGCATAGACTTTTAAGCATGGGATAAATGCCGTAGGACCTTTCCCTGGAGACAAGTGGGCATACAAAAGAGAATGTAATATTTGGAATGGCAAAAGTTGCAGTGTATCATTCATTTAGTGATAGTCCATGCACCATGGAAAACATGAAAGTACTGAAAGATCTTGTACTTGATTTGATTATAAGGTAGGAGACAAGGACTCAGAACTGAAGAACTGTTTGCTTGCTGTGCATATGTAAGGAGGAGCCCCAAATCTGAGAGGGGTTGCCCATAATGTTTACCAGTTCCCCAAAACACACCCAGAGGTCCAGCAGGGTAAGATTTGAGTTTACTTAACTTAGCATGCTCCACTGATCGGTCCCAGAATGGTCTGTTCTGCATGAACATAGGCTCATGTTACACATGTTAGGGTCAGAGCATATATCCATCAGCTATAGGAGCAGCATACACTGCCCGTCTCCAAGACAGGGGTCTGATTTCCACATACACTGTTTGAGTTGCCAAAGCTTGTCCATTAATTTAGTGCCTGTGAATGTGGGGTGCTGATGTGGGAGAGAGGCATGTACCTCCAGAATGACCCTGAGCACAAGCTGAGTCCAGGAGTAAGGGGTAGTCACAAGGTGTTCATGGCGCCCAGCCAGACCAGCTCCTGATATCAGGGAGACAGTGAAGAAGGGAGGGGGAGGAGCGCGGAGTGCTGGGCCTACCCTCAGCGTGATTCAATTGTGAATACTGACCTGACTGAATAGAGATTACTAGATACTGACATAAGATGTGTTTCTTGCAATAATTCTTCATGGAGCAGTCAAGCCCATTTCAGAAAATTTGAAGAGATTTAGCAGTTGGAGTAGACATTCTGAATAGTCTTTCTTTCTTTTTTTTTTTTAAATTCACTAAAGGGTACATGCACTTGCCAGAGAGCGAGAAAAAGAGAAAGGGAAAGTGAGAAAATACCATAACCCTGTGGAGGGTGGTCACACTGCAGTCCCTTCTCCATTTTTTCTTTCAAGATTTTGGGCGTTCACATGCACGTGCCTGTGGTGTTTTTCAAGCTGCCAGGTCCCAGATTTGAACTATGCAGTAGGTCATGTGGGATCCAGCCACCTTAACCACCGCACCACTGACTAGCCCTCTCAATATTCTTTCTTTTATTATTTTTTAAAGACTTATTCATTTATTTAATTTTATCATCATTATTATTTGTTATATTTTTTAGAGAGATTTTTGCTATAGGGTGTGTGCACTTGCCAGAGAGATGGAGAGAGAAAGAGAGACAGAAAGCGAGAAGTCACCCCTTGAGGGGATGGCCACACCGCAGTCCCTTCTCCATTCACCTCTTGGGATTTTGGACACGCATGCACATGCATCTTACTTGAGTTTTAAGCCCCTGGGTCCAAGACTCAAACCGCAGTTGACTATGTGGAAGTCCAGTGACATAATCACTTTGCCATCTGCTGGTCCCTTACCATTATTTTTTAATTTGACCACAGACAGAGAGAAAGAGAGAGAAGTGAGAAAGCAAGCCACCAGATCTGGACTTAAACTGGTTGACCATGTGGTAGTCCAACACCTTAACTACCACGCCACCTGCCGGCCCCTCCATATTATGTTTTAGCACAGTATTCATACTGTACTATGAACTGTATTTTTCGTAGCACATTCCAGTAGTCTAGATGTTCTTTTTTTGGGAGAGGTTTTTGCTAAAGGGAGTGTGTGCTTGCCAGAAAAACAGAGAGACAGAAAATGAGAAATCACCCCTGAGGGGGGGATGGTCACGCCAAAATCCCTTCTCTTCTTGGGATCTTATGCACGCACGCACACATGCCTGCTGTGAGTTTAAGCCACCAGGTCAGGGATTTGAGCTGCGCTCGACTACATGGGAGTCCAGTGACATAGCCATTGTGCCAACTGCTGGTCCTGTAGTCTAGATGTTCTGAAAGGAGACTGTTTTGTTTGGGTAGAGAACTTGGGTAAAATGGACATTACTACTTAAACACTGGGAACTGCTCAAATTCTTGTTGTTGTTTTTTTTTTTGTCCCTAAAAAGCGAGCCCTATGACCTAGTGATTGGGAGCTGGATCCCACATGGTCGATTACAGTTGAAATCCTGGCCCTGGAGGCTTGAGAAACATGCGAGGCACATGTGTATGTGTGCTCAGTATCCTGACAGGGAGGAGAAGTAGTGGAGAAGTCATTGTACATGACTGCACCCAACTGTGGGTGCTTCCTCCCTCTCTCTGTGTGCTCTGGTGAGCTGACAACTAAAAAAACAAAAAGATGGTTTGAAATTGTTGGTCCTCTTCCTCCCCTCCCCCCACCCCTAGTAATTTATAGGTATATTAAATCAAAATAAAACAAACAAAGTTTATTGGGATACTTAAAAAATAGGTGAGTTTAGGGCCAGCCAGTGGCATGGATGTGTGCGATTAAGGACCTGGATCCCACAGGGCCAACTCCTTGGTTCGCACTCAAGACCCAGTGGCTTGAAAATCAGACTGGCACATGTACATGCCTGCTTTCCCCAAATCCTGAGAGGAGACTGGAGGAGAAGGGATTATAGTGTGGCCATCCCCCAGCAAGGGACAGTTCTCACTTTCCTCTTCTCTGTTTCTGTCTCTGGTGAGTGCATGCACCCTCTAGCGAAACGAAAAATAAATAAATAATTGAGGATACTATTGATGGTTATCTTCTCTATTCATTATCTCCGATTCCAAATGGAACTGTCTAAATTGACCCCCTCTTCTCCCAGCTTTGTTGGTAATTGACTGCGGGTCATTGAAAATAGTTTTGTGTGAAACTTGCCATCTTGGTTGCATTAGCTTTGCGTACTTTGGGTTGTGCCTTCCTCTTCCAGAAACCTTTGTTTGCTCAAAGAGAAGCAGGAAAATGCTGATTGCCCTATTTTAGTATAGAATAAAAATGCATGTGGTAAAGACCTCACAGGGCCCAGCTGTTGGCTGGGTTTTCAGTTCAAATAGAGAAGAAGAATGTTTGCTACCTCTTTGAAAAATAAAGGCACTATGCCCATTTGCTATACAAAGGGATCAGCTGCCCAGAGTTTATCTATGAGGAATAGGGAGGCATATATGAGTTCTTTATTCTTCTAGTTATCTTACTAAATATTGTTATAATGGACACTGAGGTTTCAGAAGCCATAGGACATTGAGAATTTCTGTTCTGATGGTCTGAGCTCTTGATGGGGTAGAATGTTCTCTTATGCCCAGCCCCAGTTAGTTTAGTTCGAAGTTCTCCCATTTGTTGGGTTACTAGTTCAAGAAAGGTCTCAAGACTGAGATATTTGGAATTGAGCTCTTTAATCGAGATTAAAATGAGTCTCCAGTAGTTGTCCTTTGTCTAACAGCCTCTGACTTGCTCCTTTGTTGTTTGCAGTTCTTACAAATCTGGAACATGAGCAATGGAATTTCATAGATTTAGTAGACATTCCTGTTGGGTATGAATTTAAAAAAAGGATATAGCTATGGATTACAAGTTTGTTTTTCATTTTCATGAGGACATGTGCACTCCTCAG